TCTCCTCTTTCCACCAGATCAGATCTTCACAACTAGAATCCGCTATACCATTTACATAGCAAACCATCCACATTCTCCCCGTATTCCATAGGTATGAAGTAAATTCATCTCAAACAGTTTCTTCCCTCATACCACTGCCCTGTGGAACAGACTCGCAAGAGGATGTTTCCCCGATCATTATTTTAACCTGTTCATGTCTAGAGTCAACCGTTATCTTCTTCCGTTTGAACTATACCTTATCGTAACCCTCTACCTCGAGTGGCCCCCAGGCCTTGTACAGAGTGAACCTTACTGTAAAAAACAACAAAAAACATTTCCTCTCATGGGTACTTTGATATTTGGTCATTGGAATACTGATTCTGGGAAGTGGGTCGGCGTTTTCACCATTTTCTCTCTTTATGCCCTTTCAGTCTTTCTGTCTCTCTCTATATGCCGTTTGCCTTCCGACGCAGACTCTCCACTATTTCCTGTCTTTTGTTGTCTATATGACCTGTCTGTCTTTTTGTGATTCGTGCTCCCGTGTCCATTTGCATAAACTTGTCAAGTAGGTTACTCGATGCTTTCCTCTCTGGTTAAATTCTACAAACCTTCCTTCCTTAATACGCAGCCTAAATATGTAATTGTAAAATCATACATTTTTATACTTTTATATGTATGCTTACACAGTGTTATTAATATATATTTCTGTTTTATTTTTTTAAATCGCTTTTAAAAGTCAAGAGATATAACTGTTTTTTAACCACCCCTACGCACGTAAGTTTAAAATATCTGTGTGTGCGTTAACGTAAGTTTGCATTTAAAGCTAACACACTCTCACAGAAACACTCAACTCACCATAGTCGATTCATCAAGGATGTAAATTATTGATAATGTTGATCTCGGGTGATGGCAGTGTGAGTCTTGAAAACAATACCACGGGTTCGCCCAAACCTTGTGTGTAAAATTGGCTAATCAAAAGTGTTTGAGAGCCGTTCAAAGCTTGTCTCGCACGAAATCATGTTATCATCAGAGATTAGATATTACATAACAATCAACACTTATTACTTTGTTTCTAACGACATTTTCCCATATCTTAATACTTTCCTTACTTTCTGAAAGCCACGAGGAGATTATCCAGCATTCACTGGATAGGAGATTAGATATTACATAGCATTTCAGTAGTCTTTTCTTTGTTTCTAACGGCATTTTCCTATCTTTTAATACTTTGCTTAGTTTCTGAAAGGCCTAAGGAACTTATCCAACATTCACTGCCATATAGGAGATTAGATATTACATAGCAGTTCAGCACACTTTTCTTTGTTCCTAACGTCATTTTCCTATCTCTTAATACTTTTTTAGTTTCTGAAAGGCATGAGGAAATTGTCCAGCATTCACTGCCATATAGGAGATTAGATATTGCATCGGACTCTTTTCTTTGTTTCTAACGACATTCTACTATCTCTTAATACTTTGCTTACTCTCTGAAAGGCATGAAGAGATCGTCCAGCATTCACTGCTATATTGGAGAGTATATATTACATAGCAGTTCATTCTTGTTTCTGTTTGTTTCTTCCGACATTTTCCAATCTCACAATACTTTGCTTACATTCTGAAAGGTATGAAGAGATTGCCCAAAATTCACTGACATATAGGAGATAAGATATTACATAGCAGTTCAACATTCTTTTCTTTGTTTCTAACAACATTTTCCTATCCCTTAATTCTTTGCTTAGTTTCTGAAAGGCTTCTTCTAAGTGAGTTTTATTGTTATTGGTTGCTATTTCATTATAAGTTTGAGTCAGATTACCAACGAGCATTCCCACCTACTGTAGTTAGATGGTTAATCTAGTTGCACATTCCCTGGTTCAATTCTCATTTACTGCTCCGCGACGATCACTTTCTAGTAGTCAGAATCCCTATACTCTGGGAGATGATCTAGCACCTGTATTCAGGATCACTTTATTCAAGTTTTAGAACGGGACGATCCCGACAGAACTAGAATTTCTATCAGGATTTATGATAAACAGATACAATCTTAAGATAACGCGTGTAAATGACACTGTTAATATCAGAGACAGGAAGACAACTGCCGGAAGTTCCAAACAAGTTATCAAGGAAAGCGAGAAGAAAGGACTAACCACTAATTGTAGAAAGACACAATGTATGGTTGCCAACATGAGAAACATCCGACGATGCGAACTCGGAACTGGATAAACCAAAATCAAGCAATTACAAAAAGGTAAATACAATGTAACCCGGATAAAAGAGACCCGGATATAAGAGAAACCCGGATATAAGAGAGATTTTCTCTGGTCCCAAATTAGAGCCTCTGTTAATGTATATAAAATAGACCAAACCCGGATATAAGAGAAACCCGGATATAAGAGACTTCTTCTCCGGTCCCGACAACTCTCTTATATCCGGGTTACACTGTATCATGAAAGTGTTTTAACAGAGGGCAGAATGTAAAATCAAAATCCCAAGGTAGATTGGGATAGCGAAACATGCCTTTCAAAAGCTATTCAAGGTACTAAGGCAAGAGGGACAGAGGAAAGTAGCAAATCGTCTATATATCTTGCTTGTGTAAGTGGTTGACAGAACATAGATTGGGAGATATAGCATAAAACAAACCTTATTAAGCGTTTTGAAGGGATACGGCGCAAAGAATTTTTCCTGTCATTCTTTATTTTTAGAAATTCTCCCACAATAAAGTAAAAACTGGTTTAACGCTAGCCATTTAAATTACAGTAAATAAATTAAATGTTGCTAGTAAGTATCCAATGCTGATGCATTAAGTTACTATTTACTAAAATATATTTATTTTATTATTAATTAAATTATAATAAAATCTATTTTATCGAAAAAAAATACTCAATTTAAAATAAAAAAAAATATAACCTATTTCTGCTACAGTGTAACCCGGATATAAGAGAGTTGTCGGGACCGGAGAAGAAGTCTCTTATATCCGGGTTTCTCTTATATCCGGGTTTGGTCTAATTTATATGCATTAACACAGGCTCTAATTTGGGACCAGAGAAAATCTCTCTTATATCCGGGTTTCTCATATATCCGGGTCTCTTATATCCGGGTTACTCTGTATTATATTTCCTGCTCACACACCTCACAAAGTTAGAAATTATATTTCCCGCTCACTTTGCTTCCAAAGTTATGGGCTTTTTCGGCAACCTTGATAATATATACTTTTGAAGACCTTTTTTTCTTTCTGTCTTTTTTTCCGTTTAATCCGTTCTTTCGTCTTTTTTACAATGTCGACTGAAAGGTTTATAAAGGTTGAATGAATGATGCGCTGAACTGTACAAACAAGATCTTATATGCAATTATTATTATAAGCGTTATAAAAATTTAAATAATTAGAACTCTAATTCTAACATCGGTTATCGTTATAAAATAAACATAGGCCCAACTATGGCATTTAAGAAGGTCGGCTGAAAAGTTTATAGTCTGACCAAGATACTCTCACGGAAGGTGATCAAATGAGATATATTTTCCAACAGAGTCCCCCTTGCGGTTCACACACTTCTTCCATCGATGTTACAGTGATCGGATAACAATGGCAAAGAAGCTTTCATCTTGTTGGCCAAAAAAAGTCAGCAACAACAGATATGGTGTCATCATCACCTCGACGCTGCTATTGCTCGGTTTACATCCCGATGAAAACATGGCAAGCATGAATGGTAAAGGTAATATTTTCAGTCTCCTCATAAGGAAACATTCGGCATTCATTGACGGACACAGTGCTACACGAGTTTCATTTTATCCCTCTCTGGCCATCAAGATGAGATCAAAGTGTAGTAACTGTTCTCCTAATCTCTAATGATAATGGTAATATTATCCGTTTCCTTATAAGGAAACATACAACATTCGCTGACTACGCAGTCAATGCGACTGTCAGTTGAGATTTATAAAATATTTCTGTTACAATAGATTTTCAGGAAAATATGTTTTTCAACTCCAATAACTTTTATCGCACTTTCCAGCATAAATGGAGATTTCATTCATTAACTTTTTGTTTGAAGTAGTGCAGAAAGGCAACTTCTTGATTATTTTCTTTGAGTTAAATGTGGTATCCATTTTAGCTGCTGCTGTTGAAAGTTCTCAAGTGATGCGGTTTCTGTTATTTGTGATTATGTAGCATCAGTCTAGGAGCTTCGAAGCAGGATGGTCCCCGCTAAGACCTACAGGCTTCATTAGATCTAAGGTATTTTTAATCATTAATCTGATTTGATATTTCTGAACGTGTATGGCCAAATGAAAAGTTTAGATCAGACGAGGTTATTTAAGTAAATAGTCTATCATCGTCGGTACAATGGTTAATCTAACAATTGGACAATTTTGTTGTTACACGATTTGGACAATTTTGGTGTTACACCCGGTACACACACACACACACACACACACACACACACACATATATGTGTGAGCGTGCGTGTGTATATGTGTGTGTTATTTTTAGTTAATTTTGTGTACATCTTCCATTGCCTACCTACACACACACACACACACACACACATATATATATATATATATATATATATATATATATATATATATATATAAATGACTAGATATTCATATATGCACGCACAATATATATATATATATATATATATATATATATAAAAACATATACCTAATTGTGAAAAAATGTGCCCTTTACATAAAAGCGTATCTCGGTGCGATAAAAACATATATTTCAAAATCAAAACATTTTTATTTGTGCATATATTTATTTTTCAATTTTCATTCGTTATTTTGACCTTTCCGGGTTGCTGTAAACGATTTTTTTTTTTTTTTTTTTTTTGGTTTTGCTATTTTTTTAACTTTCCTCATATTTATCCAATTGCATACAACGTCTATCTATCTCAGTCACATTAAAAATATCCTGTGTACATTCATACACGAATAATTGTTTTGTTTTGAGACTTAGAGAAAAAAACGAAAAGAATTATTTACTTTACAAACAGCGTCCTTGAACGCACTTCATAATTATGGAGATGGAATTAAGGAAATTGATAGTGAGAAGGGCAAACATAAGGAAAGGCACATATATATAGAGAGAGAGAAGGAAAGGGGAGAGATAGAGTGAGAGAAAGACAGAGAGATCTATATTGTTATAGAGAGAAAGAGAAACTGATATAGAGAAGATAGAGAGATAATTTTAGGGGACGTGAAAAAGAGAGAAATAGAATGAGAGATGGAAAAAGAGAGACAGAGAAAAAGACACCGAGACAGATAGATAGATAGATAGATAGATAGATAGATAGATAGATAGATAGATAGATATACAAGGAAAATAGATAGGTAAATATCGAGATATGAATAGACTAAGTAAAAAAATAGATAGATAGAGGGATAGATATGAGCAGAGTATATATATATATATCAAGATAGATAGATAGATAGATAGATAGATAGAGATATAAAGAATGGGATATAGAAAGAGAGATGTATATATGAAGACTGAGATATAGAAACAGAGAGAGGGAGAGAGAGAGTGAAATAGAAAATGTTAGAGAGAAGGAGAGAGTCAAAGGAAGTGATAGTGAGAGATGAACAAAGACAAATATAGAGAGAAACATAACGACAGAGAGGAAGAGAAAGAAAGAGTCAGAAAGGCACAGAAAGAGAAAGAAAGAGAAAAGAGAAAAAGTTAAGTTTTATAAACAGAAAAAAGATTTTGAAAGCGATATATATATATATATATATATATATATATATATATATATATATATATATATATATATATGTGTGTGTGTGTGTGTGTGTGGATAGAAAGACAGGAGAAACAAAGAGAGTGACAGAAAAAGAGAGAAAGAAACAGAGAGAAAGAAAATAGAGAGAAAAGAAACATACAGAGAAAGACGGAGTTAGCTAGAAAATTACCGAGAGAAATAGGAAAATGACTGAGAGAGAGAGAGAGAGATAAAGAAAAAGAGAGAGCATTATAGGGAAAGAGAGAGTAACACAGAAAAAGATAAAGAAAGGGTAAGAGAGTAAGTAAGAGAAATAGAAAGACAGTGACAGAAAGAACAAATGAAAGAAAGATAAAAAGAAAGAGAGCTGAATTAGTAGAAATAAGTACAGAGAAATTCCCTACTACATTGTATTAAAAGTCTATAACAATGTTTCATTTAAATTATTTAATTAAGTTTGGTAGGAATTCTATTAGAAAGAGCAATACAAATGCAGAAGGATGTATACCTATACGGAGATTTTATATAGGGTGTTTCATAAAGTCCCATTATATATAAGGGTGTTTCAGTAAGACGGATGAAAGTCAACAGTAAATAAATCAGTGTTATTGGTGAAAATTTCTTTATTTCTTTATCGGATCATGTTAGTTCATTCATGGCAATAATTTGTGAAAAATAATATCGCCAAAATGTCCGCCAAATCTGAAAGAAAAAAAATCATGAGACGCTTAAACTTAATTCACATTAAAATCGGTCCAAGTTATTGGAAACACCCATTACATTATGCAACAGCTTTTGATAAAAATTATAGCACAAAGATTTATTTGAACTGTTAGGAAAACAATTTATTTGCTAACGATATTGCAGCAATCCAGAATCTATACTGAGAGCAAACCTACTGCATCCGGATAAAAAATGAATTCAGTAAATATACAAAGATAAAAAAGGAGCATGACAAGGATGTGCCTTCTCACCGGACTTAATCTTTACAGCGAAGTGATTCGAAAAGTACTGCAGTTCCTAGCAGGATTTATTATTGACAAATGAAATCTTAACAACATAAGATACGCAGTCTTGATAGCAGACACAGAAAGGAAACTGTAAGAACTCCTATACAATATAGCAAAGGAAATCGAGAAGAAAGGACTAAACATCAAATTTGAGAAGACAGAATGTATGATTGTCAGCAAAAGGAATATCCAAAGTTGCAAACTGCGAATTGAAGACACCAACATCAAAGAAGTAGGAAAATTTAAATATATCGTAGGGGTTTTATTAGAGGGCAGAAAATATGACACCGAAATCCGAAGATATATTTGAACAGCGAAAGGTGACTTACAAAAGCTAAGCAGCATGTTAAGAACGTTCGTTAGAAATAAAGAAAAGACTTCTGAACTGTTATGAAAAATCAGCCCTTTTTTGGCGACTTCTGGTCAGTTCCGTCTAGCAAGTATGAGAGTATAGTCGTCGACAAAAGAAACTGCTACAGGTTCAAGTAACGAATTGGAGACATCAGAATCAAGTAGATACAAAAAACAGACTACCTCGGCAGTATGGGAATATGTGAGACGTATATCCTAACGGATATCGGAACTGCGAAAAATGCTTCCGAGGAAGCTAAGAAAAGTATTAAGAAATAGGAAAATTAGGTTGGTAACATAGAAAAAGACTGCCATGCCACATCTATCCAGTGAATGGAGGAAAATATCTTATAGATGAAGAAAAGAAGCGACACAAGATGTTATGCTACTGAGGATTGTTGAGAATCCCATGGACAGAACCTGTGATCAGAAATGTTGTAAAGAAAATGAGAAGTAAAAGAAATCCTGGAACACATTATGAGGAAGGACGGCTTGGAAAACTAAATACTCACAAAACATATTAACGATAGGAGGAAGTACAGGGAAACAGTGAGTATCAAAGAGTTTGGATGCCAGAGAGGGGCAAACAGAGATAGTAAGGTACAAGCGTTGCTTAGAGCTACAACGGATAGGAAGCTGTAGAGTGACATGTGCCTATGTAAATGATGAAGATGATAGATATCTGTATTGAATTATGCTTAGTGGCTGACACTGTATCGTGTTTACTTCAACACATTTTCGAAAAACTTGTTCAGCGCAATCTCGTCTCAAATGATGGGTTCAAGACAATATTACTCTCTATCTGATTCAACAAAAAATCGACTCAGAAAAGTGGTGCATGATAATATTGACCTCCAAAAACTAATTCAACGCAGGCTCAAAAGAGTGGTTCAAGACAATATTGATCCCCCACAAATCATATTAAACGCAATGTAGGGTCAAAAGAGTGTTTCAAGACAGTGTTGACCCTCAAAATCTGTTTAAACACAATATTAGCTCGAAAGAGTAGTTCAAGACAATATTGACATCAAAAACTCGATTCAGCACAAAATCAGCTCAAAAGAGTGTTTCAAGATAATATTAACCACTAAAATCTGATTCAACACAATGTTCGCTGAAAAAAGTGATCCAAGGTAATATTGATCCCCAAATCTTTTTTATACAATATCAGTTCAAAAGAGTGGTTCAAGATAATATTGATCCCTTGCCAATCTGATTTAACACAATATCGGCTCAAAAAAGTGGTTCAGGACAATATTTCTTCCCTAATTTGATTTAATAAAAATCCGGCTCAGAAAAGTAGTTCAAGGCATTATTGACCCACTAAATCTGATTCCATGCATGTAGTCTCAAAAGAATCGTTCAAGACAATACTGTCCCCCACAATCTGATTCAACGCAAATGCGTAACTCGAAAAAGTGGTTCAAGTCAGTATTGACCCCCAAAATCTGATTTAAAACAATATCAACTCAAGAAAGTGGTTCAAGATAATTTTCACACCCAAAATCTGATTCAACGCAATATAGGCTCAAAAGTATGGTTCGAGACAATGTTGACCCCCAAAATCTGTTTAAACACAATATCAGCTCGAAAGATTGGTTCAAGACAATATTGACATCAAAAACTTGATTCAACACAAAATCAGCTCAAAAAAGTGGTTTAAGATAATAATGACCCCTAAAATCAACGCAAGGTAGGCTCCCCAAAGTCTGACATTATTGACAACAAAAACTTGACTCAAAATCTGTTTAAACACACTATTAGCTCAAAAGAGTGGTTCAAGATATTGACCCCTAAAATCTGATTCAACGCAATGTAGGTTCAAAAAGTGGTTCAAGGCAGATTTTTTAACAGAATATCAGTTCAAATGAGTGATTTAAGATAATATTGGCTCCTGCCAATCGGATTCAACACAATATCGGCTCAAAAGAGTGGTTCAAGATCATATTGACCCCCGCCAATCTGATTCAACACAATATCGGCTCAAAAAAGTGGTTCAAGAAAATCTCCCCTACACCGAAATATAATATTATTTATCAATGATCAATAATTAAGACGCATCTATGTATCTATGTATATATTTATCTAGCTAGCTTGGTTATCTGTCTGTCTGTCTGTCTGTCTATCTATCTATCTATCTATCTATATTCGTAGGTTAATGAATCAGCTTGTAGGCAAATGATAAAAAAGGCAGTTATTTTATACATCTAAAAAAAATATAATAACTACATCAGCAATCGTTTCACGTCATTTTTTCATCATAAATAAATATTAAAACTGGCAGTAACACAAAATGCTTCGTAAGATCTGTTTATACAGATTATTATGGCAGAATCGTCAGACAAAAGAAATGTGCGAAATATTTCTTTAATTGGTTTTATTCATTCATTGACTCAAAGAAAGAATAAAAGAAAGAAAGAAAGAAAGGAAAGAAAAATGAAAGCTGTAAGGCAGATATTAGTTGTAGAATGGTAACGCCTAAAAGTTGAAAGAAAGGGAGAGTGAAAGAAGAAGAAAGAGAAAGGAAAGACAAAAGAAAAAAAAGAAAGAAAGAAACCTGGAAAAGAGATTTAATTGTAGAATTGTATGTCCGAAAAGTGGAAAGAAAAGAAGGGAGGCAGAAGAGAAAGGCGAGAGTGAAAAGACAGACAGACAGAAAGAAAGAAAGAAAGAAAGAAAGAAAATGCACACGAAGAAAAGAGTAAAAAAAACAAGTCCTTTGTCTTATTCAATTCTTTTTACATATATTCAAACATATTTTCCACTTATATTATCCGTCGGAATTGTAAGGGGATTCATTTCTTACTTAATAACAATAGAAAAACAGACCCTCACTTTATACCCATGAGTATCGAGCTATACAAATTTAAACATGATATTCCTGGCTATGGGTAAGATAGCAGTAAAAGTGTGTCCTATAGCCTTGGGTGGCAACTAATCTAGGAGAAGGAAACTCTGAATTCAAGCCGGATGGCACTATCCTAAACGTGCGTATACATGCGTCTGGGGGACCGCTTGTAAATCCAAATTCCCACTGAGACTCCAACTACTTTTGCACGTCTTCCGATGCGAAGTTAAAATGACCCCCAAAATTCAATAGGGAACGAGAGGAATTGACTAAACATGATATTAATATCTGCATATTTTCTCAAGTCCCTTGTATTATTCAACTCTTTTTTTATGTAAGTTCTTAAATATATTTTCCAAATGTGTAGTATTTCTAGGGGCTTGATTTATTAGTGAATAACAATAGGAAACCAATCCAACACTTATTTTACAGTAGAATCATATATTAATATAAGTGTGTCCATGTAGTTTTGTTGGGTTATTATTATTATTATTATTATTATTATTATTATTAATTCCTTTGATGTTTGTTGTATACAATTTTTCTCCGGGTCCTACCTGAGACCTAAGGTAAAAAATGGCTTCATGAAATTTTGCACTGACTAAAAAAAGAAAGAAAAAAATGATCACATATTTTACACAGAGGTAAGGTGTGAACTGTACTTGTGAGTACAATTATTTCTTTAAAGCATTGGATACAGGGAATCCCTATCAGAGCCTTTTCCAATCAATCCTCGGACTCCAACTACAGCTTCAATTATTGATGTCCTCACTTGCCGCATTTTTTATATTTCCACTTGTATTTTGATATCTTTTTGAATATCTTCAAAGATACATTACACTCTGTATTGACTGCCATATCAATAAAAAACCACATTCTGTTTTTGTGGTCCTTGATCACAATGTCTGTGCGATTAGCTTTGAGCGTTCTGTGCGAATTTTAAAGTCCCATAAAACTATTACAGATCCTATCTCCGTAACCGGGTCTGGATGGTATTCGAACAAGTTTCTTGCAGTTTCCTTCCCGTAAAAGTTACAGATATTGGCTCACTCTATCATGCCGAGTTTTATATTCAGTTTGTGCTAACACCGGTGCAACCTGATACAAGATCGTCAATTGTTTCTGGATATTTATCACAAAAGCTGCATTTGGGGTCAATACAAATTGTCAAGATGTGTGATTGGTAATTTCTAGTTAGCAAACATTGGTCCAGTGCAGCAAAAATAAAACCTTTCGCTCCAGCTTTTAACCCTGCACTACGTAACCACAGATGGGTATGGGGTTTGTCTACATCAGCTTGTTTGGTACGAGCAGATCATTGACCATGAAGAGGCTTATCTGGCCATCGTTTCTGCATTTGGTACATTGCATTTGCTTTCTTTTTTAAATTCTTTGCCACTGCAGTCGGTGCATTATGGTTTATTTGCACTTCTTCACCCACTTGAAAATCCCTTTTGAATTGGTTGATTTCCTTTTTTACTGAATACATTTTCTTATTTCTTTCATATTCTTTGACACAGATTACCATCAAGTCATATGTAGTTCCCCTTTATCTTTGAAGAGCGATTGTCGTGAATTTGTAAGATAGTTCTAGTTGAACTAATCCTCCGCCTACTTGCGATCTGGACGAATACAAACGATCAATATCAGCCTCAGAATGATGCATGCGGTGACAAGTGTGAAGCTTTCTTGTTTCGACATTCATTCGCTATGTTCCAATTATTATTATTATTATTATTATTATTATTATTATTATTATTATTATTATCCATACATGTCTCTTGGTTATCGCATAAGATTCAGTGAGATTTACAGTACATTTCTTTGTATGCTTGTATTCAGCAGTAGTCCAAGCAGTCTCAATCCTCCCTTGCATCAACACTTCCCTATATTATTATTATTATTATTATTATTATCATTATTGTTGTTGTTGTTGTTGTTATTGTGTTGGTTGTAAGAACTGAGGCATAATATCAACAAAATTCATCACAACTAGCAGTTTTCTGAAGGTCTCCAATCTTGCCCACAATTCCGATTTTCCCTAAAGTTTCTTGATGACTACAGGAATTTCTTCAACAGTAATTTCTAGTTAGCAGGCATTGGTCCTGTGCAGCAAGAATAGAGCCTTCGGTTTCATATTTACAGGGGGTACAGGGTCTGTCTGCATCAGATTGTTTGGTACAGGCAGAGTATTGACCATGAAGAGGCTTATCTTGCCCTCGTTTCAGCATTTGGTCAATTGCATTTGCATTTGCTTTCTTTTTTAGGTTCTTTACCGCTGCTGTTGGGGTATTATAGTTTATTTGCATTTCTTCACCTACTTCAAATTTCCTCTTAAATTTGCTGGTTTCTTTTATTACTGGATAAATTATCTTATTTCTTTCGTGTTCTTTGAAACAGATCATCATCTAGTCTTCTGTAGTTTCCAGGTGTCTTTGAAAAACGATTGTTGTGGTTTTGTAAGAGAGTTCTAGTCGAACTAATCCCCTGCCCTTGCCTCCTTCGTATCTTGGAACATACGACGATCAAAAGTAGCCTTAGGATGATGGATACAGTGGCAACTGAAATGCTTTCCAATTTTGACATCCATTCGCTTACTGTCAGCCTGTTACGAATGTTGAGACTGTCTCGTAGCATAGGGACAGCCAAAGTGTTTATGGCTGATATTCTGTTTTATGAATTCAAGTTGGTATTTAATACAAGACGCACACATCTGTAGTATTTTTTTTAATTACTTTCTACTTCATTTGGGTATGCTGTATTCCATCTCCTTCGCTCACTCCTAGGTATTTATCGGCTTCTTCTTTTTCAAGTTCCCTAAACATTGTGATAAAACCTAGATCTATTCAGTGAGTTTCTTTAATTCTTTCTTTTTACTTTTGCACATTTATCTAATCTGAAACCCGTACCGATGTCATCACTGAAGCATTTTACAGTATTGGGGAAACCCTTCAACTTGAAAGATTCCTTGTTAGATATTCAAACAATTGGAAGTGGTTGTACCTTTGGTGTGATTTAGGTATAATGTGGTTTTCCACAGTTTCATCCTATATTTAAGTATATTTACTGTCATCGGGGAGATTTCGTACATTTCCAAAGTCATAAGGATCCAAGAGTGTGGCACACTATCAAAGGCTTTACAGCAATCCATCCAAGCTGTGCTGAGATTTCGACCTTTTTTTCCTGCTATTTTCCAGTATCATTTTATTCACCAGCGGTTGATCTTTGCAACCTCTTCGATATCCCTTCTGTTCCAGGGGAAGAATATTGTTTTCATCGAGGAAAGAGTAAGTATAGTTCGTCAGGACAGATATGATTAATTTACATGTGGTGGACAGACATGTTGTCGGCTTATAATGTTTTGGATCATTCGTTTCACAAGATATGTAAGACCTTCAGGGATCTATTCTGGAATTTCTTTGGGGTTATTAATTATCACTGATAAAGTTTACACAAGAGTTTTATGGATTGATGCTATGATAGAGCCAAAAGTTGGGTACCTTGTCATTTCCTGGGGATTTCCATTTTTAGGATTTTGTTAGAACTTGCCCAACATTACTCTTTGTTATATTTGTCCATTCTTGAACAGCTTTATCCTTCATTCTTTCTTGTTCTCTTTTGATCCACTCTTCATTGAAATTATATTCTTTTGGGTTGCTTCAAATATTCTCCCAAAATGATTGCACTTCTTCAAAGGATCGTGGTTTTTTGACATCTATAACTGCTTTTCTAATTCCCCTGTAAAACTTCTTGAGGTTTACCATTATTATTATTATTATCATTATTATTATTATTATTATTATTAAATAGGGGGAGGGTGAAATATGTGTATTGACATATTTTCTCAGCTTTTACCTATTTCTGCGTTCACACGTAGCAATATTCCAATTTCTTTCTCCGGGTTTTTGGTCTTTTCTATCTTAAGACGATAACTTCTTCTTTAGATTAAACATTCAAACAGCCCGCTATTGTTTTAACAAAGACACCCACATTGATATGATTATATTAATGTTGATAATTTGTTTATAAATGTCGATTCACTTTGTTAATGTTAATTGTAATATTGAGATTAGACCTTTCCTTATGCGGAAACACTGGTCATTCAGAGGGAACAGTTATCTCAGTTCAATGTACTGTCAAATATTTCTCTTAAAACAACTTTTCAGAAAAATAGGTTTCTCAAAGTTCACTCTTATCATTCTATCTAAAGCGAGTTTCCTTCCTGACCTTTTGTTTAAGGCAGTGTTTCTTAACTGGGAGTCACATGACTGCAAGCGGGTCTTGGTGGATTTTATGGGAGCCACAAAAACATTTTGGGATTTGGAAGGCCACAAATTCAATGAAATATTTTACTTCTAGAAAACTTAAATTATTTAATTGAAATATATGTTTGAGCTTTATTTACAAAATTACTTCGATTTACTTATTGAATGACCCACGCATACCAACTTGCAATAGCCACTTATATTAATTTAACTTTTTTTCCGCGACGCAAGCTGAATTTTCATCCCTTTTTTGATTAATGTTAATTTTTAATTATGCTGATTTGCTGAGAGTAAATTACAGGTACCAGAAAGAAGATGAAATAAATATTGTTTCCCACGTCGGTATCCATCTACCTGTACTATCTGGGTGGTCAGATTAAAAAAATCAAACTTTGAAATTTCCTATAAAAGTATTTAATTGACTAGATGCCTAGGAGGGAGGCATAAAAAAATCGCCAACCAGAATGAAGCCATAAATAGAAAAAGGTTGAGAACCATTGGTTTAAGGTAATGTGGAGGGTTAACATCTTGATTATGTCTTTATTTGCTCTTAAATTTACCTGCGAAGGCTATACAAATCAGTTTACTCTGCTATTTAATCCATAGCTGGTTAGAGAAAAGACACTATCAATCCTTTTCAAAAGAGGACATTTGTGTGAAGATGAACGCAATAACTTGGGAAGGAATTTGAAATCGGAGCTGCAATAACGCGCGTGCGCACACACACACACACACACACACACACACACATACACACACACACACAGACTGAGAGAGAGACTGAGACAGAAAGAGAGAGAAGGAGAGAAATAGAGAGATATTGAAATCAGGGGAGAGCAGAGACAGGGACAGGGAGAGGGAGAGAAGAAGACATAGACAAAGAGATAAGGAGAAACACAGAGTGAGGGACAGATAGAGGGAGGAGACATGGAGCAGGAGAGAGACAAGGATAGGGAGAAAGAGAGAAGGAGACAGAGGCAGACATAGGTAAGGAGATGAACAGAGATTGGGCGAGAGAGAGAGAGAGAGAGAGAGAGAGAGAGAATGTGCGAGAAAATGAGAGATGGGGAGTAAACGAAAAATGGACAAAAGGAGAAGAAAGCCGTGGCAAGAAAGATAAAAAAAGATACAACGGTGAGAGAAAAAGCATATAATCTTGTAAGATTATGTAGCTGATAGGCGGTCATCAGTTAATCGATAATTATATATCGGTATAATTGATTTGAGTGCATATTGATCTTGTGTGATGTTTAAAAGAAAATGTATAGTGTTGATAATTACGAAATAAATGTTTATATATACATTATAATATTGCAGAAGGAAAATTGAAAGTTAAAGTTTCAAGAGTTCATGTGCGAAAGCCCTTCAGCATAAGAGCGATAGAGAAACGGTCCAGGTAGAAGTATATATATATATATATATATATATATATATATATATATATATATATATATATATATATTATATGGCAACTAGTCTAGGATAAGGACAACTCTGAATTCAAAAACCTGCGGAGGGTCGTTTTGGGGCCCTGTGGCACAAAACCTTCACCATGTGCTAGCGTCGGGCTCTCAGTTTCCTAGGAACTGATCTGCTTGACCCTTATACGTCGAATTCGACGAGGAGAGTCGAGTATATATGAATTAGTCACTGATGGGAAAAAAGAAAAGAAATCACGAGAAACTGATCCCAGCAAGGCCAAGTAAACAATCTCGCTGTTTACACAGCGACGGTCTGCGAAACCTAATGTAAACCGACCCTAGTACTTTCAAATGAAAAAGTGAATCGGAATTGGCTAAAACGGAGAACCAATCCACACTAAATTCCATGGCACACTTTCTGCTATTTATCAGATGTTCGCAAATTGAGGAACAATAAGTATTGCGGATGAGTTTTATGTATATATATATATATATATATATATATATTCATGAAGGAACAGACGAAAGCTTGTAGTAAAAATAAGAACTAATACGGCAGAAATTTATAGAAACAAGGATCTTTTCATTCATAACGGATTCGGAGGTTTTTGTATATTATTTGATTGTTTGCGATGATGGATTTCTTGCCAATTAAATCATTAGCCTTTGCATTTGTTTTTGTGTGAATAATTCATGAATTTGTAAATTGATTGCACGTTTATCGAAATTAAATATATATATATATATATATATATATTCTACAAATAAGGTAAGATATTACGTATATTTCTTACTATATAAACTGGTAAATATAGGTAGATATACCAGCGAGCGATTAGATCGTATACAAATACATATAAATACTCTATAAGTGTAAGAAAAAAAAGACGGTGTCGACCGAAAATATCAATAAAAATGAATGTAATAATTCCAGCACGTGAAATGTGCTTCGGCGTGAAACGCGGAGTTGTGCAATTAATGTAAAGATATTACGTATGTTTTCTTATATATATATATATATATATATATATATATATATATATATATATATATATATATATATATATGGAAGAGGTTATAGTTGTTCCAACGAGAAAATCGTATATTTTAAAAAGAGGAGAGAAACCTCAAACGTTTTTGGTTATAATGCGGATTAAATATATATATATAAATTGTTCATATTTTGCTACACGTGCTTCTGATGTCGCGACCTTCTTCAGGGAAAGAGTGGATCTTTCCATATATTATTAAAACGATTAAATTTTTTTTATATTTTTCGATTTCTAACCCTTGTCTTTTTTGTGTAATAGTTATGCTTATGTCTTTTCATATATATATATATATATATATATATATATATATATATATATATATATATATATATATATATATGGACGTGTATTTTATTATTTAAATGTTATTTTTAGTGGATACTCGCAGTTGAGTAGATGCTCCGTTTACTTGTAAAACAGTATTTATTTTCATCTACTGGCCTGAATTTTCGAGAAGTCTTATCAGAAAATATGCGTTCTCAGACAGGATTCGAACCTGTGTTTCCCCAGGTGAACACCGTCAAAGATCTGACGTCAATGACCAAGCAAAGTCTGAATGGTGTCTCGCGAAATAAACATATCTGCTCAGTTTCGTATCATGATATAAACAAAGCTCTAATTTTTAAAGAAAGGAATGGATTTTTTTTTATTTATTAATCTCATAACGTTTAAGTACTAAAAATCTCTCAGATTAAGAAATGAAAAATCAATTCCTTTCTTTAGAAATATATATGTATATATGTATCCAAATGTAATAGCAACTTCTTGACCATGTGGTAAAGGAAGGTCTATTTTGTTTAATGAGGCAAGGACGTGAAAATCTCGCATTTCGTCTCTGGATATGTTGCGATTGTTGCAACATCGAAGAAGGGACAAAGTTATTTTTCAACTCTGATTTGAGTTAATTTTCCATCTGTTTATATGCACATCCATAGATCATATTTGAAAAAGTCGCTTGCTTTTCGTTGACTCGGGACCTTATATCCTGGTTGTGAAAGCTTTCTGATTGGTTGAACGAACTATGGTTTTGTTTGCCTGGCGATATTTATTATTCGTCTATTTTTTTTTTTTTAAAGATGGTGAAATTTCGGCCCTCTTGTTATTTATTTTTATTTATTTATTTTTCTATCACCACAATAAGCTGTCTTTTTAAATTGTTTATTTGCGGGAAATTGCACATGATAGCTCATTTAATTTGGTATGCTGCTTAATGTACGTTTCGGTAATATTGATTTGTAATAATGAGCCGAAAGCCTACATTGACAGGAAATGTCGTTCAGGCGGGGAAACATTCAAGCGGGAAAAGTGAGTCGGGCGAAAAACGAATCATAATTATTATACATTGATATGCCCAATCTAATGTTCTCATCGTATCTATTATGTTCACAGCCTTTCGGTCTTTATCTGTAGAGTGTAGTAACAGGCGACGGAAAGGGCGTCATTGATATCTGAATAAATCGCGAATGAATAAGGAAAGATTTTGTCCAGAACGTAAACAAATTGCTGACAATCAAGGAAATGTTCTTAGAAACAAAAAATGTTGAAATATCATATCTAATTTATGTGACAGTAAATAATGGGGACACGTATCAACCCTTTCAGAAACTATATCTAAGTATAAAGGGATGAGAAAATGTCATGAGAAACAAAGGAAAAAATGCTGAACTGCTATGTGATATCTAATCTATAATGTATAATGCTTGACAACTTCCTCAGGCCTTTCAGAAACTAGGCAACGTATTAAGAGATAGGAAAATGTCGTCAAATATATAGCCTTCCACTTCAACCTTTAATCCAAATGCTTGTAACCATCGATGAGTGTCAGCTTTATTATCATGGGCTTTATTAGCACGTTCTGGATATTGGCCACGAAAGGTATGTCCTGAAGTGCTATACATTTAGCTACAGAAGAAACAACTGATTAGCAAGGTCAAATTACTGTTTTTTTAGCCCGTCAGGCTATATATATATATATATATATATATATATATATTATTTAAGAAGCTCTCTGTGTCTGTGTCTGATAAAAGATGGATTACATTAGAATTGACTCTTTCAATAACCGATCAAACGCACATTCTATCCTTCTCCCACAGACATACAGACACATGGTGTGTCCATTGTTCACACACACACACGCACATATATATAAGTATATATATACCGGGTGTAACAATAAATTGGCCACGCAAGGTTTGACATTCAGGCCAGTAGATGAAAATAAATACTGTTTTACAAGTATATTTTGAACTTCTATCTAATATCTAAACTCCAATCTGTCAGTGAATGCTGGACAATCTCCTCATGCCTTTCCGAAAGTAAGCAAAGTATTAAGAGATAGAAATATGTCGTTAAAAACAAAGAAACGAGTGTTGAACTGTTATGCAATATCTAATCTTGTATATGGTGGTTAATGTTGCCTTTCAGAATCTCAGCGAAATATTAGGAGATTGGAAAATGATAGAAACAAATAAAAGTGTGTTGAACTGTTACGCAATATCTAATATCCTATAACTTAGTTCACGCTGAACAATCTCTTCATGCCTTTCAGAAACTTTCAGTTAGTTTTATTTCCCCAAAGGGCATAGACGTCTTCCAACTTTTGCTATCTTTTCTCATCGTGCTACTCTTTCGTATAAATTCCAAGTAATATACAATTATTATTATTATTATTATTATTATTATTATTATTATTATTATATTTCGATTTCTGCTATAGTCACACTACCTACCAAGTTTGCGGCAAGACCTAAGGCAGATAATAATGTGTTGTTATGGTTACATTTTAAATCCCTAGGTTGCTGGGAAAGCCATATGAATTAGTAGGCAAATTTTTTCTTCGTTTTTTCAACAATTACGTCCAGCCTATTGCTTCAATCTTCCTGTCTGTAAAGATGGTGTAATCCCATAAAATTATGATGGCTTCTATTTCTGTAACTGGTGCTGGGTGATGTTCATTTACATTTTTTAATAGTATTTATTAACATTTTTTCCAAAGTACGCATTGTCCAGTGTAAGTATTGCCTCATTTTATCGTGACGATATTTATATTCATCTGGCGCAAGTACAGAAAATCCTGAGATTAGATGGTCTATGCTTTCTTGATATTTGTCACAGAACTTGCATTTTGGATCCACATTATTATGTATGATATTTCCCTGAAAGTTTCCAGCGAAAATTCCCTGGTCTTGCGCTGCAAGAATAAAGCCTTCCACTTCAGGCTTTAATTCAGATGCTCGTAACCATCGATGAGTGTCAGCTTTATCATCATGGGCTTTATTAGCACGTTCTGGATATTGGCCACGCAAGGTTTGTCCTGAAGGGCTATACATTTAGCTACAGAAGAAACAACTGCTTAGCAAGGTCAAATTACTGTTTTTTTAGCCCCTCAGGCTATATGACGTTTCCGTGTAGGATACAGGTTCGATTCCTGTCGGAGAACACAAATTTTCTATGAAATTTCTCGGACATTCAGGCCAGTAAATGTTGTTAATACCGTTTATTATAAACAGATCATTTACTTAAATATTTGTATCTATAAAAAAGAACATATAAACAGAATCTCTCTCTCTCTCTACATATATATATATATATATATATATATATATATATATATATATATATATATATATATATATGTATAAGAAAAATATATACGGAAAAAACGAACAAAAATC